TGCACTTAAGATTTCCTCTATCTTGAACTCCTTTCTCATTGATTTTGAATTTCCTATTTTGGTTTTATTCTACATTTTCCTTTTTCAGGATAAGAAATCTTTCGCCTAATCAATTCCTCAGATTGCCCATGCGTTGGAGCTTGGTGCGAAATCCTACCAGTGGTTCTCGAGCTGCGCTTGGGCTAATTCCAAGTTGTTGGCTTGTATCAAAGAAATTCCACCAAGGCGCGTGGCAAAGCATAATTACATTAAGGATTAAGGGGTCCGAAAGAAGAAACCAGAAACAATGGTTTTCCTTCAGCGTTTCTTGAATTCCATGTTGCTCATACTGATAGAACACTTTGTTGATAAGCTTGGATTATAACTGCATCACTTTTAACTTTTTTAACCCATATGGGATTTACACTGTATTGAATGAACTTTTCTGCAGAACATCATGCCCTGTTTTCCTCTTCTCGTTGGTTTTTGGGTATTTGTGACGCAGATGTGGCATTCCGTTATCTCATGAGTGATCGTTCTGCGCAGCGCCCAGGTATATGCTCCGTACTGTTCACCAGTCAGCCTATATCCGCGCTGTTTTTGCTACTGTTTTTCGTGATTACAAGCACCAATTTAACTGCTAATTGTCTTACGCATCTCAAGGAGTTTTCGTTATCTTTTCGCCTTTCTGTCTGAATCCGGACCCAAGCGATTATCGTCCATTTTTGTTAATGTGTTTATGTGAAAGAGTTGAAAAAATTGATGGGGCCTTATCATATGACTGCAAAGGTAAGCAGCAAAAATACAAATTATGTATTCCCAGTATACAAAACACAAGCTGTAGAAAAAACTGAACAGTTCCTTTAAGACTTAATTGATCCCTGTGGCTCTGAATTCTATTCTCGCGAGCTTGAACTATGCAACTGTTCTGAGCTAAAGAAAGAGCAGTTAACTAAGGACGGGCAAGCAAAAAAGAAGGAGAAGAAGAGACGCTCAAAGATCAAAGCGATGGTGAGCCGAAAAATATACTTCACATGTTTTTTATATCTTTTTATTGCAGGGTACACCTGATGAGCAACAACCTCTTGCAGATGCTGCAATCATCACTGCTGCAGATGACGAAGAAAAAGATATGGACAAAATCGCTGAGCTGATTACGTCACCTTTTACATATAAAGTATGATGTTTCCTTTATATTTTGCGGTTTGGGAAAGTGTATGTAGTTGCAGATGCTAACCATCACGAGATCTGCTTTTGGACACTATGAGTTGTTTGGAAAAAGATACCACACACTCTACGATCTCGTATATCACCTATCTCAAACAGATTCCGAATTACCGCAGAGACTAGTCTACGAAACGCTTAGCATGGTTAGTAAAACATTAGTTACTATAATATATATATATATAATATTACTTGTTTCAGCGAGTCCTTTAATACAGACGCATTTCGGTTTCTTAGGTTAGCGTAAATTCCGTTCAGGCATCACGAATGTCTATGCTTTTACGTCTTCGTACGCGGGCTCAGCTGCCTATAAACTGAGTAAATTCTCAGTTAAATTTTATGGAGCGTAGTTTACTCTCCACTCTCATATTTATCACTTTCGCATGTTATTCATTATTTTATCTTCTGCAAGTATGTTTCACTTTAGATAAGCCCACTTTGCATTTTTCACTATTTTCCCCAAATTCACAATGCCTGCATGCGTATTTTCTTCATAAATAATGTCATGGCATTAAGACGGGGCAGTGCTAGTCATCTCAACAAATTTCTAAATTGCTGCCAAACTGTTGGGAAAACAGCACTTGAAATGAATGAGCATCATGTTGTGAGTCATCTTACTCTTCTATTCATGGCACTGGAAATAGAGGAGGAAAAAATTGGGGAAAAAATCCCATTTCTCAAAGAAACAGTACGGTATTTATTTGAAAGAATTGTAAGTTCTGACCCGAGGTGCAAAGCGAACTAATAACTTCGTCTTTTACGATTCTTAAAGGGCCTTGCAACGACTACAAATGCAGACTTTCCGTCAGTGTTTTTGAAAAAAATGCAGTAATCACGACACTTTGAAGCTAAGGCTAACGAAACTTAGGCCTAATACTGAATTCAGATAAGCATGGATGTGCATAACTAGTCGCTATAATTGACTCTCTTTTAAATCTATACATCCACTCCCCACAGCAGGGCAAAACTTCTCAACGACAGCACAAACACCACATTAAGTATATGGTATTAGTGCCCTAATTCTGTAGAAGTCATTTCAAGTGCCGTATAAATTCGCAGAACCTTTTTTACAAAAATTCGACCACAAATGGAAATTTGCATTTGCTTCCGCAAGTCCGCAGTGTTTCGTGTTCTTTTTAAACATGTATTTTGATGTTCGCAATATTATTGAAGCTGATTGAATCAGCTGAATTGAAACTGTCAGAGGTATTTCGCTAGATTTAACAGTGCTTTAATTTTTGCTTGATAGGCGAGTTCTTAGATATATGTAACTGACTATCGCAATTGTATCATTTTTGTTTTCAAATTCCAAGACTTTAGCTTTTCCTATGCCGCTTTTATAAAAAATTTTGCTTGAAATGAACCAACAAACCACACAAACGATAACGATACAACAAATCGCTCATTGAAGTATATATGCGCTGCTTATGCATCAATAGCCTAGGTGAACCGGCTGTTTTTTCAAGCAGCCTCACTGTTGCTACTTTAGAGGCAGAAGTATGTTGTGGTCGACTTTTGACTCTAGCTTAAATTTCTTCTAGATTGACACTGTTGAACTAGTTCTTTCTATGGAACTTTTTCTGCTTTCTTTACTAAGCAAGGCGTGTCTCTGAAGCTAACCACATTGTATTGCCACACATGCGAGCAGAAACTTCTTCTTGCAGTCTTGTAAGTAATCCAGTAAAATGTGAAAACAATGTTATCTCAAGGGAAAGAGAAAACAGGATAAAAATGGCGGAAAGCTTGCGTGTTCAACATAAGGAAAAGGGTTTTATGTATAAAACATTTCTTCGGGATTATATTCTCATTGTCTAGTATATCTTACTCTCGCACCGTTACACTTGCTTCAAAATCAATAATTTCCATCGGCCTGGTTATATTAGGTTGAGGAATAAATTCGTAGCGTTTTTTTTCCTAAAAACTTTTACTTAAACAAAAATCAGTGGTTTTAGCAATAAATCAACTAATAATGTATT